ACCGATACTATACGGGATGTCTATGCATTGGCGCCGTGTACATAGATTTGTTAGGAGCTGATTTTCGCGCCCACTCTGAAGAGCCAGAATGGCGTCTACGGTTTGTTCTCGCGAAGATGAGAGTTTTAGTTCAATTGCCTGAACTTTTGTGCCTGTAAGCTCCGACGCGAAGAGAATTAATTTGTGTCTATGTGTGATTTGTAGTGTCCTGGGTCCCCCTAGGCGTGTCTACGCTATACGTGTGTAGCACCTTTTCCAGCTTAATTCACTTGTACTTTTGGATCAAGATTTAGCTCGCGCGCACTGTCGCAGCTATAGAAGAGTCCGAGCTCACTTCAACGTTTGGCGACTACCGCTTTGGGCATACTTGGTGTTTTCGACTAGGTCCAGTTTCAAAGCAACACTGCCACTCTGGGGGAACCCCCCACTCACTCCACCCTCTCACCAGCTCGCCCCCTGCTTTTAAGAAATTGTTTAACTGCGCATGCGCGCGCAGATTGCGTCCTGTTCTGGAGAGCGGCGCGCTGTGAGCATGACCTTCTTTCTTGTTTCTCATAGGCTTCTACCTTATGCCACGTTGTAGAAAATTTTAAGCAACTCAAAAGGTTCCACAATTATGCCTCGCAGTTTCATGTTTAGTAAAAGTGTTTTTCATTGTTCATCTTTTGCATTGAGAACCAGAACTTGAAAGAGTTGTTGACAAAATTCACAAATTGTTCAAATGTACGGTGTTTTTGAAGGTATGTGTCTAATGTTATTGTCTTGTTTTCTTTCTTGGATTTTGTTGTTTTTCGTGGCTTCTGGCTTCTGGCTTCTGTGGCTTCTGGCTTTTGTGGCTTTTGGCTTTCGTGGCTTCTGTGGCTTCTGTGGCTTTTGGCTTTCGTGGCTTCTGTGGCTTTTGGGGCTTTTGGTGGTTTTTTGGCCTATCCATCTATCTGTCTTCATCTATCTGTCTATATCTATATCTATCTATCTATCTATCTTTGTTTCTTTCTTCCTTCCTTCCTTCCTTCATTCTTTCTGTCTGTCTGTCTTTCTTTTTCGCAGCTGTTCTCCTTTATCTTTTTGCTTTTGCTTTTCCTTTTGTTTGCTTTGCAGAGACGAAACCAAACAAGGAAGCAAGCAAGCAAGCAAGCAAGCAAGCAAGCGCGAGCTGCTCAACTTTGGATGGGGTGTGCTGCTGGGGGGGGCGCTGCGCCCCCCCCAACCTCCCCCACGCCACGAAATCTGCACTTCAGCCCGACACCCGCGCCTGCCACGAAATCAATATTTTAAGGTGAACTCCCCGGCGCAAAACTTTCTGAACAAGCAAATATGCCTCCTCTATCCATCTATCTATCTATCTGTGTATCTATCGATCCATTTATCTTTCTATATTTCTATCTGCCTATCTGCAGTTCAACATCCACAAAGTACTACACCTGCCACGAAATCTGCGCTTCAAGGTCTCTTGCGCCTGCCACGAAATCTGCTCTCCAAAGCCCACAAAGTCCTGCACCTGCCACCAACTCTACACTTCCACATCCACAAAGTCCTGCATCTGCTACGAAATCTGCGCTTCAAGGTCCACAAAGTCCTGCGCCTGCCCCGATATCTGCGCTCCAAGGGCCACAAAGTACTACACCTGCCACGAAATCTGCACTTCAAGGTCCACAAAAAGTCCTGCGCCTGCCACGAAATCTGCGCTCCAAGGCCCACAAAGTCCTGCACCTGCCACCAACTCTGCACTTCCACATCCACAAAGTCCTGCGCCTGCCACGAAATCTGCACTTCAAGGTCCACAAAGTACTGCGCCTGCCACGAAATCTGCACTTTAAGGGCGCGAAATGCGCATTGCAAGGTCCACAAAGTACTGCACCTGCCACGAAACACGAAAAACAAAAAACTAGACGACGAGTGGCCCGAAAGCATTTTTCATCACGTAGGAAGTCAGAGTGTGAGTTGCGTGTTAAGTGTTCAGTGTGAAGTGTTAAGTCGAGTGAGTTGAGGCAGTGTGTGGGTCTCTGTGTGTGTGTCTATCTATGTCTGTGTGTGTATGAGTCCCTGTCTGTGCGTGTGTCTATATCTGCTGCTGGTACTACCAAGTCGCCAGTTCTCATCTTCCAGCTCCCCAGCTACTCCGCATACTAAAGTTGTACTACCAAGTCAGTTCTCATCTTCCAGCTCGCCAGATACTCCACGACTCCGCCTACTAAAGTTGTCCTTCGACGACCCCAGTTCTCAGCTGCCAGCTCCCCAGGTGGTCCGCGCAGACTAAAGTTTTACTACAAAGTCGCCAGTTCTCATCTTCCAGCTCCCCAGCCACTCCACGCACTACAGTTGTACTACAAAGTCGCCAGTTCTCATCTTCCAGCTGCAGATACGCGCGCTTGGGACAAGTCGCCCTCTCGCCTGCTTTTCGCGGACTCGACCCGCACGGTCTCCGCAGAGGGTTGTGCGCGTATGGGATAAATCGCACTCTCGCCTGTATTTCGCGCACTCGACCCGCACGATCTCCGCAGAGGGTTACGCGCACGTGGGGCAAATCGCGCGCTCGCTTGCATTTCGGGCAATCGACCCGCACGATCTCCGCAGAGGGTTGCGCGCATGGGACAAATCACACTCTCGCCTGCATTTCGCGCGCTCGACACGCACGATCTCCGCAGAAGGTTGCGCGTACACCGGACAAATCGCACTCTTGCCTGCGTTTCGCGCACTCGACACGCACGATCTCCGCAGAGGGTTGCGCGCGCAGGGGACAAATCGCGCACTCGACCCGCACGATCTCCGCAGAGGGTTGCGCGCGCAGGGGACAAATCGCACTCTCGCCTGCATTTCGCGCACTCGACGCGCACGATCTCTGCAGAGGGTTGCGCGCGCGCCGGACAACTCGCACTCTCGCCTGCGTTTCGCGCACTCGACCCGCGCGATCTCCGCAGAGGGTTGCGCGCGCGCCGGACAAATCGCACTCTCGCCTGCATTTCGTTCCCTCAACACGCACGATCTCCGCAGAGGGTTGCATTTTCGGTTGACGCTGTTCGTCCCACCCTCCGCCTTTAAAGAGAATTTATAAAGTGTGGAAATGTTTTTCATTAGGGCATCTCCCGTGAAAGTTTTCAATACTCACACTTGCATACTTGCACTGGGATACTTACACTTGCATACTTGCACTTGGATACTTACACTTGCATACTTGCACTTGGATGCTTTCACTCTTACACTTACACTGGGATACTCATGCTTTCACTCTTACACTCACACTGGGATACTCACACTTACAAACAAACTTGCACTTGGATACTTCTGTGCCATTGTGTTCAAGTGTAAGTGTAGAAGTGTAAGTGTTCAAGTGTAAGTGTAGAAGTGTCAGTGTTCAAGTGTAAGTGTCAGTGTAGAAGTGTCAGTGTTCAAGAGATTTTCCGGAAGAACCCTTCGCAATGCTTTCGGGAAAACAAAAGAATCCAAAATTAAGTTGCGGGCCCTTAGGATTTTGCTATTTAGGTAGTTTGAAAACATTGCAATCAAGTCAGCTTGTTTTTCTATTTGGGTATACAAAATTTAAATACAACGTTTAAACCACATCATCAAATATTTGTAAGTTTCTAGCTGTTTATACCCGCTACCATGTATATTGAATACTATTTGCGGAATATCCCTGATTATATTCGTTTGGAGATTCCGGGGTTCTTTCAATTCATAGTTCATTGTACGGGTGCTTAATATTTTGACGTTTATCTCTTGATCAACCAAAGACCAAACACGGATAAACCATGTTTTGAAGATCGTTCTTGACGGTAGAGGGCTGAACTTAACAAAATACCCATGTTTGACTCTTCTTCTGTCAGTCCTTCATACTTATTAACTAAGTATGTCCATTGTTTTTATACACCTACAGTAAAACAAACATTAAAACTACATACTACCTTCACAGTATCATTTGAATATAGTGAGTTGCATATATTAAGCCCACAAGTTCTGCAATGCAGTTATCTCATGTGTGTTTTTCATTGTTAACCCGTTGCGTTGTCAAATTTGTTGATATGTTTTTGTAGTTAACATTCAATGTACAGCCACAACCGCAGTATTTACAATGGTTTGAAATATTTTCTATGCACTACAAATTAGTATAACCATATCTTTCCTTAGCAAACCAAAAAATGAAAAATAAACCAATGCCTGAAGGGCAGATCCCATGGGCTGATCTTTTTGTTTGGGTTTGGTGACTATGTCACACAGACAGAAATGCAAAGAGTCACGCTGTAGCCTTCTTAGCACACGCAACATTAAGACCAAAATGAGATAGTAGTACGAGATAACAGTGCAAGATTGAATATATAGGTAGAACATGCGCAAAATGCGCATTACCACAGCCCCCTGTTCTGTTTCTAAGAAACATAGGAAACTAAACGTCCCACTGACAGGAAAACTTTCCGTGCGGCTGTCTTAATTGTGTCTGTTCCAAGGCCGAACAAAATGATGTTTTCAATCATTTCTATTTAGTGAATGCCCTGAAATCATTACAGCATATTACAGTTACTTTGGTACATATTGTTATTTTTTTGTGATGGTTTTTGCAATGCGTTCGCGTTTGTGTCTCACCTCCAAATTTGGATCTTTTCTTGAAGGCTTTGCATTCTTCCCCACAAGAACATGCAAACAAATGTGCGACCGCCTTCGCCGTGGATTTTCTTTCGAGTTTTTGTGCCAACGCATTTGCGGTGGCTTTTGCCAAGTCCGTGGTCAAGGCATGTTGGTGCCTCCACTGCCAGGATCTGATGTACGTTGAACTTGCCATCAACCTGGAATTGAGAAAAACAAATCAGGGATTTTCTTTGAGGTCAACTTCGACCTTTGGAACAAAAAGGCTGCATGGAAAACACATAAGAACAGTCTGCAGCAAATGCAACACCAATCGGTCGTGCGCATTTGCGTCGTGACAGGGTATCAATAACGTGCGTGTGCGTGCTATAGTCATCAGCACCCCCCAACCTGACACTTCGTAGTTGGCGCATGCATGTCAGGCCAAACGACGACGACAAGCTGCCGCCGTGGTCCTCGAGGCCAAGTTTACAGTTTTCTGTCTTTGCAGTGTTTTGTTTGTTTGAGAACTTTCAAATTTGCAAATTGTTGGCGACCACAATTTGGCCCTCAGAGGCAGACAGTGCTAGCAGCCGGTTAGCTCGATTGCAGCGGTCTGAGACAGGGGCCGCAGCCTTGGACAAAGATTTATGCAAGCCGCGATGAAAGTTGTCTTCAAGGGGATGAAATTTGTAAACTGAGGAAGAAAGAAAGGGTGAGACCGGCACAGAGAGGCGCTGGCAGCTTGCGCATACAGATCAGAGTCGACAAACACTGGACTAGTCACTCTAGGTACCATAGTTGGCAAATGTTGGCAATATCTTGTAGAGGCTGTTGCGACACCGTCAAATTGAAGAAGCAGTTATTCTTGAAGCCGAACCAAAAGATGAAGCAGATGTCACCGAGGTGCATTCTGAATCAACACACAGGAGAGGCGCTTGATGTTTAGCATTGTGCTAAGGAGAAGAAAGAGGTCTTGAAAGAGGAGTTGGACTTAGATTTGAAGCCTGGGGTGGCGGAGGCAGAGCCAACCTGTGTCAGCATGGCCAAATTCTTATAGGTGATAGGTACACGATGATAGAGTTAGTGTCGCTGTTCCGCAGTTGAGTTTCGAGATCAACGAAGAGGATGAGGATTTGGAAATTCGACAACTTCGTCCGCACCTTTTCGATTTGCTCTCCAAGCACCTTGGGCCACCTTGCGCAAATATGCGATCACTTTACTTTCTTGACCTAGGCCGAGAAAAGATGCGGGAGAAGGCTTTGTCGAAGCGGAAAATTGAAGAGGACGTCTTGAAGGCAGTCTTGGGCAACTAGAAGGTCAGCCTGCACCAAGCTCAAAGCTATCAGGTGGAACTGGAAGAAGAGCAGGAGGTGCGGTTTGAATGGTGCGATCGCATACTGTAAGGATGGTCAGACTTGGTCAGAATCTACAGTAATGCTTGACGTAAAAAAGTCGTCAGCTGTCCAGGAAGTTGCAGAGGAGAGCGAGTACGAATCTGAATCTGAAGAAGATGACCCAAGGTACAAGCTTCAAAGACCAAAGTCTGGAAGGATAGACCTCTTCCTTTTTGGTCACACTTCTGCTGTGGAGGCGTGGTCCCTTGATGAAACCAGTCTTCGTGTCGAAGGCTTTGAACTGAGGAGTGTGTCTCATTCAAGGCCTTAACTGCTGTTAGCCTCTTGCAATTTGTTGAATTGGGATTCCATGTTTGCTGTGAACAGACGTGAACAGACTGATTGTTTCAAGTTTAGCTTGTCAAAGATAGCTTTAACCATTTGGCCAACTGCGCCTCCATCTTTGGTTTCACTCCCTTCTCTCTCTATCTTGAGTCAAAGGAAGCTTGGAAGGAATGTCTGACCTGTACACAGCTTCTCCTACCTGTACTGCAAGCTGGACTTGTTGGTGCAAAAGCAAGAACATATTTCGACATTGTTATAAGTTATAAGTATATATAAGTAGCGATGAGGCAATGAGTATATAAGTTACAAGGCACTTCTTTTGATACCGCTTTCTTTTTCCAGGTTGTTCTAGGGCTGTCCTGTACTTCAAGGTTATCATCAGGAGGTGATTGTCTTTGCTCGTCGGTGTCACAAGGGTTGACTGAGCTCTTGGTGAGGCTTCTTGTGCAAAGGATTTGATTTCTTGCTTTTTCAGACCAACTGTGCGGTTGCAGACTGCAGAGAAGGATCGGCGGGTGTTCCTCTTGCAAAAGCGGTTGCTTCTTCATCCCGTTTATGTGTGCCATTGTCTACACACGGGTGGTTTAGGGGCAAATGGAATGGCCATCCACCGGTGGCGGCATTCCACTCTTAAGCTTCAGTGCTCCAAGTAGGCTAGGCTAGATGTTGATGCAAACTGCAACAGAGGGGTTTACAAACAGATCAAGATGAGCTGGTCCTTTATTTATGTCAATTTACTATCGCGCAAAACTCAGATGATAACTGACAACCGTTGTTTTTTAATATACAGTATACGTATGGTACCCCCCATTCAACATCACTCTTTAGTTGCTTATTTGGATGGGTATTTTAATGGTCAACATCCAAGCTCCTTCTCTGATGGTGTTGGAGCTTGGCTTTAGCCCACACACAACAGAACACGCTGAGGTGGTGCGCTGAGCAAGTTAGTCATTTCCCTGATATCACTCGAGCTTCTCCAACTTTGAAGTTCCCAGGCTCCAATTTTGGAGGTTCAACCAAAACGATCTTAACGATCTAAACAACTGAAGGTGACACAACCTGATTCCGAAGCATTGAAGTGAAGATTTCCTGGAGGGCTTCCACAAGCAAAGGTGCCATGAAGGTGTTTTATTAAAGACTCCTGAGAACACGATTGTCTTATTCAAATCCTCTCAGGCTGAGAGAGGCCAGAGATGCTCAGACTATCGCTTTGAGTCAGAGCTCCGTATTCAAAGTACAGCTCTCTTGGCTCTAGATGAAAAGAATTGAAAAGCACTCCCAAATGACCCAAATGGGAGGCCAGGCTCTGAAATCTCCTGTCCTAATCAGGCATCTCAATCAGCTCATTCACCATTCGCAGTCGCACTGCGAAGGGCGAAACCACACCGAACCCCGCAGCAGCACAAGCAGTCCGCTCAGCCTTACTTGCTCAGCCATCCTTCGCAGAATATCACCAATACTCTTAGTCAATCCCTCATGTGAGTATGCAGTACTCCTCCGCAAAGCATGCAGGATTCTCTTAAAATGACAAAAACACACCAACCAAGGCGAATAGAGAAACTGTCCGGGAGAAGGAGCTGCTCGCGGTCTAGCAGCTGTATCTACTGATTTGATTGAGGACTTGACAGGATAGAAGAACCGGTCTGGACCCATCAGGAGATGATAGAAAAGGAGGAGGAAGATGCTCGGAGAAAGAAGGAAGTCCGCGCACTTGAACGAAAGGCACTGGCACTCAATTTTGTTATGCTTAGCAATGCTTGTGTGAGTCCATTGTCAGCTTGTATCCCTTATGACGTGCTAGAGCTAGTGAACGCCTCTTGAACTGCCCACAGGCAGAGTCCAAAGTTTTACTCATCGATAAGATTCAGGAGGAAGCCGAGGCAGCAACAGTACGGTACCAAACTTCTGGATGTCAACCTTGCAATCAACAGGCTGAACGACTTGCAGCAGAAGAGGATGATCGTTCTGACATCGAGCTGCTGGATGATGACGATGAGAAGAACGAAGCAGAAGAGTGCCTCTCTCCAGATGCGACAGATGCGACCCCTAGAACTCCAGGCGTAGCCAAGAATATCCCGGAATAGTATTCAGTGAACTACTTCTTTTTACTGTAGCACTATTTAATCCTACTATTTTATTGAACGTCTATTGATATTGAAGACTACTCTGGACTTCAACTTATATGCTGGAAGAAGCGGCTTCCGCTTTGAGCCAGGATGAAGCAAACATGGGCAACACACACCCGGGTCTAGAGGGTTACTACATTCTCTCTTTTCTTGTGGGGAATTGTTAGGAGAGCATGTAGTAACATGTTCATGTTGTTTTCTTGCATCGAAATGGACATTGAAAGGCAAGCTGACTCCCAGGTACGAGCTTTGGAAGATCCGTGAGCTGAAAAGAATCAAGCGAGATAAGGAGGAGACCAAGACCAAGCGGAAACAAAGTGAAAACCAAATAGAAGACGAAGACAAAATGTCAGGAGTATGTCTAAACTGTTCGCAGTGCGGGGTATGAAGGAGCGCTTGCAAAGACAAAAAGAGATTGAGTTTGTCCTCAAGTATGCCACCCAGACTTTTACTGCAGCTCATCCTTGCGAATGCCAAGCGTAGGAAAAGGTTCAGCTACAGCAGACCGTGAACCGAATGTTTTGCTCTTATCATGAGGAGGGTGCTCAGCAGCCTTCACCGCTAGCATCACTCAGCTCACTACATTGCATATTGCTGCAGCAGAGAAAAGATTTGGATGCAAAAGGGATTCAGATGGAATAGGGCACTGCCACTCAATGTTGGGTATATACAGTTTGCCAACTATAGCAACATGACAATATTGATCTAGGTGATACAATAGGAAGTAGTAGTAGTAGTAGTAGTAGTAGTAGTAGTAGGAGTAGGAGTAGGAGTAGGGTAGTAGGAGTAGGGTAGTAGGAGTAGGGTAGTAGGAGTAGGGTAGTAGGAGCAGTAGGAGTAGGAGAGTAGGTAGCAGCAGCAGCAGGAGGAGGAGCAGGAGCTGGAGCAGGAGCAGGAGCAGTAGCAGTAGCAGTAGCGGCAGGAGGAGGAGCAGTAGCAGCCGAGGTAATTCTGATCATAGCAGTAATGGTATTTCCGTTTGTTTGTGCGTCAGTTGCAAAGGAATCTCTACATTCTGCTAATTCTGCTAGGGACAAAGACTGAAGGGCTGTTGTTCGATTCCCCCAACAGAACAACTTATAACACCAAACACAGACTGACAAAGTTAGCTACTTGAGACACCATCATATACCCCTAGAGTTCCAGATCACAACTTGCGATTAGCATTGTGTTGGGCACCTGTTTTTTGTTTCTACCAACAGCAAGAACAACAGCAACAAGGACAAATACAAGAACAAAAGGATCTGGCTACTGCTAATCAAAAGACAAACCATTACCACCCATACCACCGAAATACACCACAATGAAGATTTACAATGCCAGATTGATACCGGAAAGGGCCTGTCCTTGGCTCTTTCCCACAATGCTTTGTTTTGGCATTTTGAGCGCCTCTTCGACTGTCAGAAGAGCAATTTGCTGGAATGCTTTGCTCCATAATTCCATGATAGCATACAATGCAATCCATGCACAGCCCATGCAACATAGATCGAATCTACGATGTAGATATGAACAACTGCCGATGAAGGCAGCATCACTACAGTGAAGACTAAGTAAGTAAAGTGAAGGAAACCTTCAGGAACGATAAGGTTCACAGAAAAAAAACGATAAGGTTTTAGTACATGTTGTTAGGTGTGTCCAAACCCTCAGGAACGATAAGGTTCACAGAAAAAAAACAAACGATAACCTTGGGAAGAGTGCGCACTACAACACATAAGAGGTTTTGCATGTCGCTTATGTTTGCGGAATCTCAGTGGCTCTGAAATTGTCATGATTTCTCAGAGATTTCTGGTGTACAAGGCGAAGGCAAATGACTGATGAAGAGCGAGCCAAAGATGATGCAAGGAACCTCTTCGGTTGGTGCTCAGCCTTCTCGCCCAATTCAACTGGTGTGCTTGTGATTTGCAGGCTTGATGCAGCGAATCCCAAAAGGGCTGATGTGAAGCAGTTCAACTTCCTGCAGCAGCTTGTCACACTTGGTAGACCACTGCAACCGAGAAAGCTCCTAAAAATAACAGTCTTTTTTTAAATATGTTTTCCCTATTTATGCAGCCAGGAAGTACTATCACCGTGGTGGCTTCTTCCAGGTGAGGTTTGGGCTTGGAATGAAAGCTATGGCACAGTGGCACCCTTCAGGACAAAGCAGCATCAGGGGAAGAAGCGTTCTGATCCCAGTAGAAACTGGACAATATCAAATGCATTGGGGTGGATATGGGTCTATGACATCCTAGTGGTCCTTGTCCTAGGCTCTATTTGCGCGACTACCATGAACCGCTTGAAGAAGAGAAGTGCCCATCTCGATTACCAATTTGTTCGGTTTTAGTCCCGTGGCGGCCTGTGGCATATGAGGTACGACAAGAACCTTTTGCCCAAAGCAATGCAGTTGAGAAGAGGAGAATTCGGCAAAAAGGGGCAGGTCAAGTCCTTGGATGTCTTTTTTCCTCAAACAAACACACACACACACACACTTTCAGCTCATCTTCGGCGCTTCGGCCCTTCTTTGGCCCATTCACTCCTTTTGTCTGTCGGGTTCCTGTCAGGTAAAGCACTCACATTTGACGGATGTTGACACCACAGACATGTCTGCGGCATGGTCTCAAAGCTCCAAAGTAGTTCAGAGGCCGGAGAAAGCTTTTGTGAAGACACTACGTATTCACAATTATTCATATACATAGATCTACATAGTATAATACTTGTACATTCGTAGAATCCATTTGTATTGTGTTTCTTCTGTGGTTCTCATACACATTCATTTCTTGGGCGTGGCGAGTGCAATTTCAAGACAAGTTGAGGCCAAACATTCTGTTGGACCTGCTTCACACCAGGTACCAGGAGAAGATGGCGGCAGCCAAAGGAGTAACAAACTTCGAGCGCCCATCAATGAAAAACAGGCAAGATCATGTGATCCTGCTTTGATATCATTAATAATGTTCTATAATTTGTCTCTTATACCAAGGCTGCAGTGAAGCTCAGTGACTAGGTTGCTAGGCTAGCTACCTGTGGGCTGAAGGCGCCACAGTTGAAAAAGATGCGTTGGCTTTGGGGCGATGTCAATTTAATCAAATCAAGTCCACGCATTTTCATATTCTCATAGCACACACACACACACACATTCACATGCAGCAGCTCCGTGAGCTTCAAGGTCGCCTGCAGGCATTTCAGGTCAAACATGACAGTATGCGCCTGACAGAGCGCAGGCATCGCCTTAAAAGCAAGATGATGCTGTGCCAGGTGTCGTTTCTCATTCATGAGCCCCTGCCAGTCATGCCAGGTGCCATTTGGGCACCTCATGCAACCGAACCGCCTCCGTCCAGGTGCATCGAGCTTGCACACTTGTGCTAATGTTGCGCTTCGTGTGTGCTGAACACATGAAGACGAAGTGCTTGCGTGTTCTTTTGATCTTTCCATCCCTTAGGAGCTTTCAGCTTCTGGTGTAGATCCCAGAGTCTCTTGCGATGCTGTCTCAGTCCTCATGTTTGGTTGTACTGCTTGGAGTTTTGGGATCCTGCCAATTCCTGTCTATATAGATGAAAAGACATTTTCTACGCTAATATTCTGGGACAGGAATTCACCCTCGGACAGAATCCATGTACATGAACCGCAGACTACATACTAGTCTGGAGGGAGCAATCCTTCTTTTGTGTGCACTTGCAACTGATATTTATATAATTGAGTAGCGGCTGACAAGAAGCCCATATTATAATTATGACGATAATATATATATATACATGTACATATACATATACAGACACAGACAGGCTCAAGTATAGTATAGGCTCAAGGTTTTGGGCTCAAAGCGGTCCGGTCCGGGCCTTTGAAGGGCACCATGCGAGACCGAGCACATCGCTTTGGAGAAGGAGGCAGGTGGCCATGAGACGACACTACCAAGTTTGCAAAAGCTGCAAACAGGCATGGATCTGGGCCGACAGGCTCATTCAGAAGCATGACCTTTGCTGCAATCAGTGCGGGAAGCGATGGGAACAGCAGATGGCCCCAGATCTACGTCGACGCCAAGTGGAGTGGGCCAAATGGAACTTCACACCACGAGGACAAAGATGGCCGAAAAAGACCTACAAGGAAGCACTCATTTCACCACCGCCGGGACTTCATGGAGGCAAACCTTCAAAGAAGACAAACGAAGGAATTGAACAAAAGCTCCAAAAGCATTGGACAACCCTCCCGGAGGCCTTGCGGAAGCAACTCGAGGACCTGGGGGTGAAAGGGAGTGAGCCACCCACACCTCCTGATCTTCCTACACTGATCAAGGAGCATTTGCAGAGCTTGCCAACCGAACTGAAAGAAGAAGTGGAGAAGATCATTGAACCTCAGAAGGCAGAACCTCCACTGAATCAGAAGCTGAAGCAAGCAGTGGGCACCTTGAAACAGTTGTCGGAGAAGAAAGCGGCAATACAAACCAAAGCGGACAACATCAAGCAGCAGTACACGGCCTTGCTACAAGAGCTCAAGGACACGCAGGTCAAGATTGAGGCGGCACAAAAGGAGCTGCAAGAGACTACAACACTATACAACCAGCAACTTGAGAAAGACAAGCAAGTCGAAGAAGACCCACAACTTCCTGAGGAGCTAGCAGCAGAAAACCTGCTGACTGTGATGACTAGCATTGGTCTCACAGCATCCCAAGAGCAGATCAAAGAGTTTGCCCAGAAGCTCCGAGAGAACGTGATGAAAAGAAGGAAGTGTGGGTAACCTCAACCGAGAACACCAACAGCTGGATCATCTTAGGGGCATGGATTTTTCGGACAACAGCACTTCGGGGTTTTTTGGCTCAGGCAATGTGGGTGGGGAAACCTGCGTTCCAACAGCCTCATGGGGGAACCCAGCCTGTGAGAAGCGGCTGGGCAGCACCGAGGGGACAGCGCAGTTCCCGAGTTTTTGTGGGGGAGAAGGAGAAGGTGACGCCGAATTTTCTCCTATGGCATCACCTGACATGGGAGCAGATGCACCCAGGTCTGACACAGGCCATGCAGACGAGACTTGCAACAGTCTCGACTTTGTGGTTCAGAATCTTCAGTGCAGACTGGGGAACTATCGAAACCGATGTTTTGCAAACGGACCCTTCCGTTTGTGGGCATGGGCAGGGAGCTTCATGAGTGGGCCTTCACTCTGGAGCAACACCACAGCGGCAGTCAAAGAAGCGCTGGGGGATGTGGGAGTGGTAAACATCACGACCTTAGAGACCCTGGCACCTCTATGGGAGACCTTCAATGAGGCGGTGCAGGATGATGCAGCACATTTCTTGCAACAGCTGGTGGAACTAGCTGACTCAAAGAGGGTCATCAGGCAGTATCATCATGTCGATTGTCGATTACCGACAAGAAGCACATCTCAGGGCAGCATTCCCAACACACCTCATTTTCCCAGAAGATGGGGGAGAAGAGTTTGAGACTTTGATCTCAAATTGGGCCAACACAGCTGAAGGACAAGTTCTGGCTGGTCGAGGCTTATGGGTGGCCCAAATAGGACGCTATGCTCACCGACAAGGTGAATGGACAAAACGTCACAAGAGTTTGCAGGCGCCGACCATTTTCCAACTGCCAGTATGCTTGGATGGAGAAACCACAGACACGGAACAGTACTCCTTGATAGGATCACTCTGCCATTCAGGAGACGCTCATCACAGCGGACACTTCTATGCCATCTTCGTCTACAGAGGACTTTACTGGCTAGTTGATGATGGTGCATACCCAAGAGCTTTACCGTCCTTGCAGGAGAACATCAAACAGCAAATAGTCCAAGTATGGGCAATACCATCACAGTTCCTCTTGCCAGAGAACATACCATAGCAGTCAAATATTGAGACCAACGAGCCAGCGGCCAAAAGAAGGAAACAACCGCAGTTGGCTTTCACCTTTGCCAATGTCACGAACATGGGGCAAAATGTGCGACAGTGGATTGGTGGCAGACCACGAACACCAATATTCCCTGACCTTCCAATGTCTGGGGTGCATTTTGTTCTGCCGGAACCAAAAAAGCGTACGCTTTTTGCTTTTCTCTTCAAATTATTCCCTTTCTCTAGACACATTTGCTCTCGTTCCTTTTCTTTTTCCCTTCCACGTACATTTTGTTCTGCCGGAACCAAAAAAGCGTACGCTTTTTGCATTTCTCCTCAAATTATATTTTTCTCTAGACACATTTGCTCTCATTCCTTTTCTTTTCTCCTTTCCGGCTACAATTTTGTTCGGCCGGAACCAAAAAAGCGTACGCTTTTTGCTGATGATCATGAGTTCCCTTAATTTTTACTTTTCTGGCCCTGCCGGAACCCAAAAAGCGTACGCTTTTTCCGCGCGTTTTATCAAAAACGCACGTTTTTTGCAAAATTTGATTAAAAGAAAGTATATCGCACGAGCACGAAAACCTAGAGCTTGCCAAAATACCGTCGACCCCTGCCAAAATACCGTCGACCCCTGCCAAAATACCGTCGACCCCTGCCAAAATACCGTCGACCCCTGCCAAAATACCGTCGAGCAACGTGAACAAAAAACCTAAAAAAAATCAAAAAATTGATTGAAAAACCATTGTTTACATATATATGCCTTACCAATATCTTTAGATGAAGCAGTGTGGAGCTGAGTGGACAACCCCCAGGCACGTCCAGTTGGGCCTCCTCCACCCTGATCAGAAGTCACGTGAGTTGGCCAGTCCCTGCAAGGCCATTCCCGGCATTGCAGCCTTGAGAAGTCAAAGCACAAGCCCCGTGACCAGCGCACTTGGTCGGTACCCCTTTGAGCCAAGCAAGTCACGACAACAAAAGGTTCAAACATGAGTGTTTGCCAATCATCCTAGTAGAAATTGGCCAGAAAGCTGGACAAAGGTATAACCATTTAAAGCTTGTCAAGCATTTGTAGTGTATGGTGCTGAATCGTAATAAATGGTAATTCATCTCCAGACCAAAAAAGCTCCAATCCAACATGAAAGCAAGATCTGTGTTCAATTTTCCTTCCCTCATAGTTTGCAGAATTCACCCTGAAAAGCGCCCTTGCCAAAATATGGTCAACCCCCGCCAAATTACGGTCAACCCCCGCCAAAATACGGTCAACCCCTGCCAAAATACGGTCAACCAATTTCACAGCCAGTGTGATCTTTTTTTTACCTTTTTTGGTTGCGGAGGCAAAAAGCCAAAAAAGCGACGATGGCCAAAAAAACGTCGACCACGCCGAAAAAACGTCGACCAAGCCAAAAAATGATCGACTGTGACTGACATGGTCGTTTGAAGGTCAGGGATTTGTTGCTGAAACTCATCTTGATCCTGAAGATCACCAAAAGATGGCGCAATGGTTTAGTGGCAGAGGATTTGGGGTGCTTGGAGAGCCGGCTGCGCAAAGTCCGAAAGGTGGCACCTATGGGGGGCTCATGATCATCTATCCGGCAAACATGCATTTCCATCAACTTCATCAACAGATGATTGAAGGGTGCGGCTGGGTGGCATGCATGTGGACGTTCAACAACATGCAGTTGATCATGATCGTGGCCTATTTCAAGAGCGGAGATGGAGTCCAAGGCAAAACAAATGCAGCACTTTGGGCCGGGCTCATCACCTTTGTGACCAGCATCAACCATCCGGTCATCATCATGGGGGACTTCAACATCACTCCTGGCGAGTTCATGGCAACCACAATGGGTACAGTCATGCAGATGCAAGTCATAGCTACACAAAAAGAAACCTGCAGCACAGGGAACGAACTAGACTGGGCCTTGGCTACAAATCAGCTGAGTCCGGACCTGGTGGTGCAAGTTTGCTGGGAGGTTCCTTTCAAACCACATGGACAACTGAACTTCCGGTTGAATGTCGAGGTTGAGGACATGACGGTGCAGCAATTGACAAGGTTCAACCCCGCCCCAAAGATGGACAAGCCAACCAGAGAATGGGGGCAATTTGACACGACAGAAAGGCCAGTCAAATGGTTGGACATGGAGGATGACAACATCAGCAGGAAAGCAGGGGCTTTATACGGGAAGATCGAAAACTATGTACTACAGCATTTAGAGAAGCCAACCACAGGAAGGGGCGTCAGGTTGCAGTTCCAACACAAGCCATTGAGTGATCCAAGCAAACCATGGCTTTGGAAGAAGGGAAGCCTCTCTTTCTGGAACCAGATTGAATTCAGACTCTAAGAGGTGATTGAGAAGAAAGCTATTCATCCCAATGAACTGGCACAGCTACAAAAATTGGGGTGGCACATTGCAAAACACTGGCATGATGACGGACAAGTCACCCAGGAGGGCTTCATCATGCTCTACCAGATGTTGTGGGGACAATTTGAACCAGATCATGGACAAGCCCTGCTGAGCTATGCCAAGCAACAACGGGAGCTACACCAACAACAGAGCACCATGGCGGAGACCGAGACCTACAGAGAGTGGCTCTCACAGGCCAGTCTGAAAGGGCATCGAGGACTATTTCGCAGTTTGAAGAAAGATGAACAGCCCTATCTACGGCCTTTCCAGCAACTCCCTCGAGAAGAGAGGATGCAACAACGCATACAGCAATGGGGTGCCATTTGGGGTAAACGGGAAGAGCAACACAAGGTGACCTCCCTACCGGCTATGATCCAAAAAGGAAAAGAGCATGCGTCCCAAATGAAACCCATTACTGAGAAGGAAGTTTGGAAGACCATCAAACTGCTCTCAACAAAAGCACCAGGACTCGACGGAATCGGCTTCGATTTCCTCAAAGCACTTCCCTACAGCGCCATGAAGGCATCGTCGACTTCTACCACCAGGTTGAAGAGCATGGAACAGTGCCAAACCAATGGCTGGTCTCTTTGATTGCCACGCTACCGAAGTCCACGGAGATCGAAAGACCCATAGCCCTGGTAGCCACAATGTACAGGCTATGGTGCCGCATCCGCAACAGCTACACCAAAGCATGGCAAAGTCAGCTAGAAGATGAATATCCCTGGGAACGAGCAGTACCAGGAACAGAATGCCTGCAAGTTGCCCTCAAAAGGGCATTCCTCACAGAGCACCACCATGCGCTCAAGAAGACAGTGGTCTCTGTCCTCCTCGATCTGTCGAATTTCTATGACAGGATCAACTTGCAAAAGCTGGAAGAACGATGGATGACCTCCAACTACCCAGGCACCCATGCATCTTTTGCCATGCAGATCTATTGCGGCGCACGGATACTCGAAGCAGAAGGAGAAGCCTCGACACCCATGTGGACAACCAATGGGATCCTTGCCGGAGATCCACAAGCTCCGCTGGCTGCAATGATATACTCGCAGAGGGCACTCAAATCCTTCTGCAAGAAATACCCTTTCCTCCATGTGGACCTATGGATAGACGACCTGAGCTTCGATGTCATTGAACGTGACACCAAGAACGCAGTCCGGATAGCAATCCAGGCCTACACCTACATCAAAGAACTGCTGGAGGAGGATGATCTCAAAATCTCCGAGAAGAAGACTGGATTCGTGGCATCAAATGTTGAGGCCAAGAGACTCTTACAGCAACAACTTCCATCAGGAGGCCCTCAAGTTCACGACATCATGAGGGATCTGGGAGTTGACTGCACGGCTGGTCGTTTGAGGAGAATAAAAACTATGAAGCAGCGCCGCAAAAAGGCCGGCAACAAGCTCAAGAAGATGAACGTCCTGAAGATACCACAGAGGGTATCAAGGGGCCATTTTCACCAAGACCTCCGAGAGCCAGGCAGGCAAGCATTTGATCTGTCCGCACTGCCAAAAGCCAGCTGATGCCATTCACCTACTTTGGCAACGCAAAGAGACAAATCGTCATTTCCCTCCAGTACCGGAAGAAGCAGTAACAGAAATCGAGCAAGGCTTGAACACGGAGTTTTGGTCACAAGGACTGCTACAGAAGCCGGCTTACCAGTTATCGACTGGTGGTGCGGCCATTCAGGCATGGGGCTCGTGGACAGGGCTGGATGAAATCAGCCTCAGAGGACATGATGCGCTGACCATAGGCATCGCCGCCACGAGCACCGACAGCCGTTTGCGCTACTATGTTGTCACCATCCTCCACCACACCATCTTTGGCGGTGAGATGTATCGGATGGGAGCAATCAGCACAGTTTTGCCAGGACGACAAACACGAGACCGTGCCTGGTACTACGCCCTCCGCATGATCGCACATTATGTGGACCTTATGAATATGGTGAGGGTACACGTGCTCTCAGTGAAGGCCTGGCAGGCCTGGGTCAAAGGGCATCACTACGACCATTTCTACGATTTGGCCAATTTGGTGACATGGGGTCAACGACAACGGATTCGTGCCCTCAGTGTGACACAAAAGCAGATCAGCACCATGCCAGCCACTGGCCTTTCCTTGCGCAATAGATACAAAGACGCAAACAGAGCAGCCATGGAGTTCGCCCTTTCCAAACAACCGCATGATCTTGAGCAAGAATACCAAGAGCAAGATCAGAGGTACAAGAAGTACGCACCTATGGCTGCAGAACGAATACGGTATCTCCTGGAAACGCAGGATCATTTCCTTCACGGGGAAAAGACAAAGGGCAAAGAGCTTCGTCAGAAAACACGTGACGAGAAGAAGGCGCTATACCTCGAGATTGGGGTCACAGGACATGAAGGAGGACACCAATGGATGGCAAAGGGCAGGGGCCCACAGTGCAGACACTGCAAAAAACAGATCCACCAAAGGATGACCATTCTTCCGGCCTTGAAAGAAGCCAAAGATGAGAAGTGTGAGGTAGCAGTGGGCGTTTCCATCACAGGTGGGGAACCGAACATGGAGACCAAGCAGGAATACATCAACCGCATCCTGCAGGAGCACACCGAGGAGGGCCACCTGTTGCAACAGCAGGCTAACTACATTGTGTGCCAGAAATGCGGCGTGCGCGCCCTTCGAAATGCGGCAAGGGAGAAAATCCAACAGATGCACCAGAGCACTTGTTGGTATGGTCCATGGACTCCTGATGTCCAATGGCAGGGCAGCCCCACACATAATTTGTGGAGGAGAGGACAAAAGATCTACTGCCAGAGCTGCAAGGGACACGCCATCATCCAGGAACATGGTTGGAAGGCTAGCAAACAACTTCAGAAACCATGTGCAGCAGGGCAGCAGACAACGCAGCTACCGCTGTGTTTTCGGGCGAAACCGCCCCAGGCTGAAGCCTAGGAACCAAAAAGGTCCGAGAAAAAAACAGACACAGACAGACGGACGGACAGACAGACAGACATGCATGCATATATGGATATATTATACATTGCATTACATAACATACCATAATACCAAACGAAACCATAGAAAACCAAACCAAACCAAGCCAAACAAAACAACACATTATATTTACAATTCATTTCGTTACATTACATGTCATTTAACTACCTTACAATACCTTACAGTACGTTGCCATGCACATATACACACATACAGACACACACGCACACTTGGATATAGGCTCGCAAGAGCAGAATCAGGTGTGAAGTTCCACTCTAGTGATTACATTACCAGCTTAGAGCGCTGAACCTAAGACCTGCATCAGCCCTGCTCACAACGGAAGGGTGGAACAGTCAGCCTGAACAGTATTGTTGAAAACACCTCGTGATGATCTTAGGAAAATTCGCAGGTACGCCCCCTGCAGATCTGTACAGAACTTAGTGAGTTAGACATTCTGAATTAATTACATTTAGGAGAACTCGTGTGGTGGATGCCCCTTTGAGACGGGTTGGCACACACACACACACGTGAAGCCGAATACACGCACGAGACCAGGCAAATTTCCGCGTGAGATCAGCTGGTAGTCTTTGGCGTTATGCCCTTTTTGAACGAGGGTGTTGATGGCCTCTCCGATCACTGTGTGAGAGGTTCTATTTGGTGACAAAGCTGTTGACTGCAGCGATCAGGCACCTCCGAACCGGAGTAACAGCGGTCAAGCTGACATGTCCCTGGCTCGAAGGAGGCGCTTTTAGACAGTCATCGCTTGGCTCCAGTTGGAAGATCAGAAAATCAGAGTGAGCAAAGTGGCTGCGACGGTTGTTTTTGCCAGACTTGAGATTGTTGGGAAGAAGCGGCTGAAGTGATGCCGGAGGTGCTTGCGTGCTTGTTGGCTTGCGTGGTGGCAGGCTTGCTGGCTTGCACTGTTGCGGTGGCCGCGACGGAGGCAAGAGAGCACAATGGTGGTGAGGACATGTGCTGTTGGGACGATGCAGAAGCCAGTGCTGTAGGGGAGCTGGATGTTTTGCATTGAAGCATAGCGGCAAGACTGATGGAACGAGAGCCGTGTGACTTAGAGACAATTTGATCCAATGAAGAGAAGAAATGCATGCTAAAATGTAATGAATGGGAAAGTCCGAGTGCCAAGGCCTCCAATCCTGAGGGGAGTCGGTAACCTCAAAACAATCAAAACTCGCGGAGGAAATATGCATTTGCGCGCGTACCCAAGACAGCGCAGAAAGTTGAGGTGTGGGACGCTTGATCCAGCGTCCGGGGTCATCAGCGGGAGCGCGTGAGGAGCGCAATCCCCGTTGTGTTGCTGTGGCTTTGGTGGAGGTGGAAATGCTGCGCTAGAGTCGAGAGTTGAGTCTCCGAGCTTCCCGGCGTGGTGTTTTTCCTTCCCTGAATGGTGTTTCCCCTTCTCGGGGTGTTTCCCCTTCCCGGGGGGTTCCCCTTCCTGAAATGGTGTTGTTCCTTCCCGTATAGGTCAGGTGTTTTCCTTTCCCGTATGGAGTATGGGTGTTTTTCCTTCCCGGAGTGTTTTTCGTTCCCCACCAATGTTTTTCCTTCCCTTGTTGATCTTATTGCGCTGGTATAGCGCTAAGTTCTAATACTCCCTAGGTCTTCAACTGAATCTCCGGCGAAATTTCTTCGCAGCCGGTTGTTTTCAAATCTGGTGTCTGTATTTGGAAAGTCACAGCTCCCACAATGTTTTGCTCATCAATGGCTCTTACACCTAGATCCACCTGGTGGACGAAAAAGGCGCTGCTTTCCATTGTGGCCAAAATTTTTGCTACCAGAGTGGAAAATTGCCGTCGTCCAAAAAAAACGCCGCCAGAAAACAAAACGAAAATTTCGCATCAAAAGTAAACGGCGAGCTTGGAACTGGTTTGCCTATAAGTTTGTGTAGTTAGTTAGAACAAGCCTTTTTTCCACAGGTTCGGTGTTCTGATGTGCTTTTCCTCCGCAGGATGTACGTGACCGCTTGGGCCCTCCTGTCAGCTCAATTAATTTCATGTCCTCCTGGTGGTGAACCTGGTGTGCCAACAACGCTGTCCAAGAGTTCGTCTTCCTGATGTCCAAAAAAGCTTCGAGCTGATGCCGAACGCTTGTTGCAAATTTGGCGTCATGGTGGCTCTATCGCAGAATATCTTCATAGACTACTTGCATTCTTGCCAGAAGCTACGCTGACAGATTTTATTTCAAAATTCCGTAGCGCCGTCACTCCCCTGTAGTGCGGCGGCCATGCAAACAGCGCCGCTGCTCGCAGAAACTACCAGTTATCCTTTGCCGTGATGCTCATGGCTGCCAGCCACAGCTCCAGTAGCCTTGTTGGCCGACACCGTCGTTTCCGTCATGCACAGTCTTGTTCACAAAGGTTTCAGTTTAAAGCTAGATCGTTGGACCAATAAGGGCAGATATTGGTTCGTAGGCACTGCTGAAACGGGTGAAGGTAAAAGGGGGGCCATGAAGCCAGTCATCAAAATTGCCTAAGAAGTCTTGCGATCCAGGTCAGGTTCCATGCCAGGCTTCAGCCAAGATGATTTCCACATGCAACAATCATGCACCACGGCAGCGGCCATCGACAAACTGCGACAAGCTGAGGGGTACCTTCTGTTACATAGTGATGAAGCTGGACAATGCCTTGATCTCAATTTCAACGGGCTCACTGGGCGCTGCCCGACCTCAAACAACACGCAACCGCAAACGCAACCACAAACGCGTCCACAAACACACAACCGCAAACCGGAACACGCAATGACAAACACACGGTCACAAACACATGGCCACAAACACAAGCACAAACACACAACCACAAGCACAATCACAAACGCAACCACAGACCACAAACCGAAACATGCAATCACAAACACACAGCCACAACCGCAAACACACAGTCACAAGCACACGGCCGCAAACGCAACCACAAACACACAACCACAAGCGCGCAACCACAAACGCGCAATGACAAACACACAGCCACAACCACAAATTCACAACCGCAAACACACAATCTCAAACGCAACCAGAAACACAATCACAAGCACACCATCACAACCACAACCACGTCACACAACCACAAAGACACATCCACAGCACACAATCACAGCACACAACCACAACGCACAACCACAGCACACAACCACAACACACAACCACAACACACAACCACAGCACACAACTGCAACACGCAACCACAGCGATCCACCTCACGATCATGGCAACATGCTCCTCACCATGGCATGAAGACAAATGATTGGAATGTCATGGTGGGGATCACTCGAAGTAAAGTAATTCCCCACATTGACGTGCGGTTTTTGTTTTAGTGCTGTATCCGCTCCTCCTCCTCCTTCCTTCCTCCCGCCCTCCACCAACAACAACCGCCCAACAACGTCCACCAACAACATCCACCAACAACATCCACCAACAACACCCCCAACAACCGCCGCCAACAACAACCGCCGAACAACATCCACCAACAACAAGGAACCAACAACAACCACCACCAACAACAACCACCAAACAACATCCGCCAAACAACATCCACCAACCACCACCACCAACAACATCCACCAACAACAACCGCCAACAACATCCACCACCAACAACAACCACCAACAACATCCACCACCAACAACCACCAACAACAACCACCACCAACAACATCCACCAACAACATCCGCCAACAACAACCACCAACAACAACCACCAACATCCATCAACAAACACCACCAAACAACAACCACCAGACAACATCCGCCAACAACATCCACCAACAACAACCATCAAACAACATCCACCAACAACAACCGCCAACAACGCCCACCAACAACGCCCACCAACAACACCCACCAACAACATCCAGGCGCAGCACTTGGTGCTCTCGCATCCAGGCGCAGCACTTAGTAGCGCGTCAGGGCCGCTCTTGCAGGGTCTCCGCCGGTGCGCCGGTGTCATTTTTGTGGCAGGCCAGAGGATCGGATGTACGCCCTGGCGTCGCCTGGTGCTCCTGGGTCTCCGCCGCTGCGCCGGTGTCATTTGCGTGGCAGGCGCAGCACTTGGTGCTCCCCAGCGGGTCATGTACGACCTGGCGTCGCACTGGTGCTCGGGTCTCTGCCACTGTGCCGGTAATTTGCGTAGCAGGCGCAGCGCTTGGTGCTCTCCAGGGGGTCGGATGTACGCCCTGGCGTGTTTTTTGCGCGCAGCGCTTGGTGCTCTCCAGCGGGTCGGATGTACGGCCTGGTGTCGCCCTGCTGCTCCTGGGTCTCCGTCGCTGTGCCGGTGTCATTTGCATGGGAGGCGCTGCACTTGGTCAGATGTACGCCCTGGCATCGTCCTGGTGGTCCTCGGTGTGGCAGGCGCAGCAGCAACCACCAACCACCAACCAACCACCACCAACCACCAACCACCAACCACCACCAATTGTCCGCTCCTGTGTCTGGTGAAGTTGTTAACATGTGGGGTTATCCAGTCCTATAATTTGATATAATTTGTTTTCTTGTTTTTGGGTCTTGGGTGGTCACTCAAAGAATATCCAATATTGTATATGTCCCAGAAACTGGGGACTGTATGGTGTGTGATTTTGTTTTTCTGTGTTTTCCACTCAGACACAGTTTCCGTTAAAGGGATAGGACTCCCCGTGATCTTCCAAATGAATTCTGAAGTATCCTCTGCCAAAATGATGGAATGTTTTGTGATCAAAGTGGAATTGTGTTTGTTAAATCTGAGAATATGAATGATCAGATGTTAGAACTATTTTTGTTACACCAGCAGCGAATTCCATGCAACATGTTTCCTTTTCGATATGGAAAAACTTAAAAATTATATATCTGCAAGGTGAAAAGAGGGTCGAATGTGCCATCTAGTGGTGAACGTGAACAGTCGACTTGTCGCAGATACGCAGTTCCGACTTGGAAAGCTCTCCTTTGCCTGGTTTATATAATTTATAATCAATGGTCCAGTGCAAAGTTGCGGGTTTGCCAAGGTCAATCTTTGTGCTGGTAGTGGTGCAGGCCTCCGATGCTTCGAACTCAGTCTGTTGGGAGTTTTTCAACCGTTTCTGAACACAAGAACCATGAGAAAAATATGTTTCAGGTCAAAGAGATCTCGGACTGCATTGAGGTGATGTAGAATTTGGTTCACTCACCTTTCATACACAAGATGGAGACAAGAGTTGTAGCAACAAGTCAGTTGGTCGGATCTTGCCCTTCCATGCCACCATTGTCGAGCAAATCGTTCGCTGATCTGAGCATGCCAGGTGCAGGACCGCGAAGCACCAGACTGTAAGGAGCTTTGAACGCGAAAGTTCAAGTGGGGTGTTTCTTTCTGATGTCAGAGCTCTGATTCTTTTCCTCTTTAGCAGCTGCTGTAGCAAATAGCAGCATATTCGTCCTGTTGGAGGCGACCATTTTACCATAATATATGGAGATGCGTTGCTTTAATGTGATGCAAGTACAGTATTCAGTATTCATTTGTTTGGCGAAGCGCTTGGCGCAGGCATCCTTTTTGCAGAAAGGAATGGAGCTTCAGGTCTGGCCGGCCCGTTTCAATCGAAGTCTTCTCACTCTGCTACAAAACACGAAAGCAAACTGTTTATCGGAAGGATTTCAATCAGGAGTCTGACAATAATTCCAGGCCTTGAACAGCAAAAACAGTTGGTTTTGCTCGCCGAAGGTCAGACGAGACATGGCCCCTCCTGCTGTTCACAACCAATCCAGAACAATCACCGCTGCATTGGCTGCCAAGCAGAATATGTCTAATGTGTCTGAGGACAAGACATTGAATCAAAAAGTGACTACATTACATTGACTAAATACAGTGTGTGGTGTTTGGATCTTTCAGTCAAAATCTGGCCGAGAGGATGCCTTGCTTCAATTGATGACTCGGTCAACTCAGTGCAAGACCCAAGGGCTCAAGTTCGTAACTAAAGCTGGTCAAAGCTTCACTTGAGCGCAAAAATCCTTCTATGGTCTGAGAAGGGAAAGTATTTGCAACATTCAGGGTGTCCTTTCACTTGCAACTGCAACTAGTACTTTGTCATGCATGACTGAGGCAAAGTGCCTCAACAGTGTCCACAATTATTAATTTGGTGGTTGATTCTCAGAGCTTTGAAGAAAGAATGCAGTTTTGGAAGAACATGCAGTAGCTAAGTAGACTCGTGACCGATGACTGCAAGTCAGACTCAGGTGCTCGCATTGCTGGTTGCATTGATAGTGGCTTTGATTGCACTGCCAAACCAAATTCCAAGTTGAAACACGCTGCTTTTGACCGTTGAACAAAGGTATTGCTTTGCCGACATGACATGAACTTGGAAGAAGCAAAGGCAGAGGCCACAAGCTTTGCGTGTGAGTCCAGCAGCACTTCGTATATGGTGTATAGCTTCTCACAGCGCACAATGAGCAACGGAAACGACAACTGTAGCTGTAGCTCTTGATGCCGTCTTGTGCCGACGAAGCAGTCCAGTCCACAGTTGCTGGCTGAACTCTGGTGACTTGCAGTTCAGGTGCAAGAGGATCCACGTGTGCTTTACAAGCAGTTTGAGCGCAAGGACCCAATGTCGCGCAATCTCCGCAGAGCAATGAGGCTTCAGCTCCACAGCGACATTCAGGAGCGGGTGACGGGGACGAGAAGCTGTCAAGAGGCCTTTTGTATTCACGGGTGGTTGACCAGCTGGTTCCGGGATTTCCATGGCAGAAGCCTGAGGCATGCTGCTGAAGTGCCCGCTTCAGACCTCAACCAGAAAAGATGCGGTTGTGACGATGCGGAACAACATCAACCTCGGCCTCGACTTGAGTGTTTTTTGGTATTGTTTCTTTTGCTTCCTTGCATGGACTCCTTAAGTTTCGTTTGCAAGTTCCGGTTTGGCTCCGGAAAAGTTTAAGGATTGTCCAATCTTCAGACAGATAATGATGCATTCACACACAGAAGTAGCAAGAAAAGCTTGTACTGCAGTGGGCACTTGGTGAACCTGAACAAGTGATCACAGCCTCCGTGAAGAAGCCTCACATCACAATTGCGTTTGCAGCATGCTTTCAAGCGAGTAGAGCAGCAGCACTTATCACCAACACGGTTTGTTCTTAGCGCTTTGGACCACTATGCCTTGACCAGCTGCCCATGTTTCAAGCTTATGACACACACACACACACAACAAACATCTACTGCAAATTGCATTATGTACCTACGAATTTTACACAGAAACTTTGGCATAAATGAATGCTCGGCCTCACTTGGTCTCACTTGAAGCAGCCTTCCTCACCTCTTTTCTCCTCTGGCTGAGGTGGCAGCAATCATTTCCAGTGAAATGCCAGGTCATCGGCTTTGATTCTTCCATTCGCATCCATTCGCTTGGAATAGCTGAATGCAAAGCAACTCAACAGCAACTTTCAACATGTATTTAAAGATACTTAAATCAATACATAGATATATGATATATGATACCCGCCCGGTTTCCTTCAACATCTCTGCTATATATACGATGTTTTCTGTGCTTTTTGGAGTGCTATATGTTTGGTCCAGCGTAAAGGTTCGACATCAATGGACTTATCACACATGAACTGACATTTTCAATGCGGGATGCCTTAAATATTTCTTTATTTTTGGGTTTATGACACTTCCTGGAATAGATTTGTTGGAATAACTTTCATTGAATAATATTTACACACTGTAGTAGGGCAAGGTAGTACCTACTTACTAGTTATAAAGCGCAGAATAACATTGGATTAACTTTGCTATAAGTTCACATATAGGAGAGATGCACACTGAAACCGAGTGTTGCCCAGCTCGTTTCCATTTGAGAGCCAAGTGCTCAACCCAAAGAATACCAAACACTTGGGGTCGGAACGTATCACGATGCCAAAGTCAGTTGTCTCAGGAGGTCAGAATACTCAATATACTTCCAGGGCGGCAGTGAGAGTCGGTCCCCAAAGTCAACCCACAAAAAAAAGTACATGCCAATGGTACATGAATCATGAATACAAATCCTCAATGCAGTGAGAGCTTCTTTCGAACAATTTGTTTGTAAGAACTCTTTTTGGATGAAATTGCACTTCATTATCCAGGTTCTTACCCTATTCCAACAAGTCCTCAATTGCAGAAATTCAGTGTTTTATGTGCTCTATGGTCTTGAATCCAAATCAAACTCATATTTTGGTATTGAACCATCTTTGACGTCTATTCAATCATATTGCCTTTAATGATCCATCCAAATACAGCTTTCCACACCTGTCAGGTGAGGGTTGTTAGATTTTATGTCAGCTCCCTTCCTCCTCCGCCTCCCTCCTTCTCCGCCACCGCTCCTCCGCCAGCTCCGCTTGGCAGTGTTCCCTGCCGGACCTCAACCGTGAGCTCCGGCTGCGTTCCCCGCCGGGCCTCAACCGAGAGTTCCGCTTGGCAGTGTTCCCCGCCGGACCTCAACCAGCACACAACCACAAGCACAATCACAGACACACGATCACAAACACACAGCCACAAACTCAACCACACACGCAAGCACAACCACAAGCACACACAACCACAACACACAGCCGCAGCACACAACCACAACACGCAACCAAAATCACAGCACACAACCCAAGGACCCACAAGCAAAGTTGAGAACCACGAGACTCACGACCATGGCAACATGCTCCTCACCATGGCATGAAAAATTATTGACGTGTCATGGAGGGATCACTCGAAGTAGAGTAATTATGAGTAATTTGCTTGTTGCTTCACCATGGTACAAGCAGTCCAATTTAGACGATTGAGTGAATCTGGAGAGCGCCTAGGACCTAGTTACCTAGTTGTATGTCAAGACTGTCCAGACACGGGTCTAAATCATTGTTGAAGGTGTCTGTTCTTTTTGGTGCAGGCGAGCAGCGGGAAGTACAGCAACACATCGACTCCTCTAAAATGGACAACATCAATCAATAGGGTCAAAGCTCTGAGTAATCCAAAAGTTTGACACCAGGACACATTTCATTCATTCAGACCACATAGCTACTGATCATGCAGTCTTTCTCTGGACTAGTCCAGACCTGACTATTGATGAACAATTGGAGGAGTCCAGGCTGTCAGCGGTGCAAATAAGTTTGCTCGGAATGTTTGAGAAACACAGCTAGCATTCCAGAAGGAAGTGCAGCTGCACACTTTTGCAAATGACCAGATGGCTTCTGGGAGGCAGTTTCTCGACTTTACACCTGTCTCTACAGCGCTGAAATGGTCAGGATTCAATTGCATCGAACCCGTACTTGTCAGACAAGTGCCCTGTTGCCATTTGTGGCTTACAGCCTTTCTGAAAGCATTGCCAGCAATGCTTCTTGTGACAGTGCCTGCAATGAAAGGTACCAAATGCTCAATTACGCCAGGAAAATGACTCCTGAGGAAATAGAAATGATGCAACGGCCACAGCTTTTCGTTTGCCTCAACATGCGTTAACAATTCTTTGGGATGCAGCATTCTGTGCTTGGCTGAGGCGCAACACATCCCTTGGCACCAGAGTGGTGGAAGGATGCACAATGCGAGCGGCATTGAGCGGGGTTCTGCTCTCATCGTTATGACAACATCATTGCTTCATTGCAGAGCCGCTGAGGTTGGTGGAGCTGGCTTAGGTTTGCTAATGGGCGGTGCCATTCTCAGTGTGCACATTTTGTCGTGTCTATATATAGTTTGGCAACATGGCGCGACGTGGCAGCCTAGGCTTCATGCACGCTATGCAGCCACCGCCAGACATTGACACGCCAAGTTCCCAGATTGCTTTCAAATGCATGAGAGGGAATGACCGGTGGAATTTACTCAGGTCCCTTTCCACCATGGAGCAGATCCGGCAGTCATACAAAGGTTTTGGCGCTTTCCTTGAAATTTGTGGCTGGTGAAGCCTGCACAAGCACTGAGCTTGCAATGTATGTTGTGTTGCTTAGGTCAAGCTTGCGTACGGATGTCGCGGAACTTTGCAAAGGATCGGAGAGTCGAGAGTGTGTACAGAGTTCAGCATGATTGAAACTCCAGTCATTACATTCTTTGAAGTGGTAGTGAGGTGGGTGTTGTCTATGCGGGATTGGAATGCTATCTTGAACGTGGTGTGCCAAGATAGTTGGCCAAAATTGTTTGTTTTGTCTCTGTGCCATTACCATTTCTGACAAACAACACATACAACTTGTTGTGCTGTGGAAACAAGACGGCTTTGCTTGATGCAGTCAAGTCAGACTTCCGATACTTTCAGTTTGTAGCTCCTGAACTGCCGTCATTGCATTCGGTTGTGCTTCGCAATTGTGTTTCGCAATAGGTCCGATTGAGTGGTGTAAGGAAAAGCCATGAAAAGCCTGCTCATCTCAGGCGAGCGAGCAGCACGTGACTTGTTTTGTGCTCAGATAGCGGTGAGGCCCTTTCAATTACTATCTGGACTTTCAAGAACTGGTCTTTCTGAGGCCAAATGCCATCCTCTCAGGCTGTGCTGCTGGAGGAGTTCTTGCATTTCAGGCTAGAGCGGTGCGGACCATGTGGCGTTACTGACTGTTGTTTTTCAATCCTGGAAAGCACTTGCGACGCAATGCAGAGACAAGACCATCTCTATATAATCTCAACTGACCAGGGTCTCAGCACCAGCGCATGGGCTGTGTTTTTGCCATGAAATGGTGTAGGGAAAGTATATATATAACACATTGGCGGCTGAGGTCCACACTTGAGCAAACCTGTTGCCATTTTGGCTCAAGTGTGGACCCAGGTGCATGCCTAGCAGATTGAGATGTACCTCGAGATTTTGCTTGGTGTTCTTTTCGTTGGGCTTTGCGCTGGTCGTTGCACAGTTGGGTGGCTTGCGTTGACACCTGCCTTGGTCGACTGATCCGCATTTCCGGTCTTAGGCTACGGGCTTGGATCAAGTGAGCAAATTGTGTGATCCATAGGGTTTGGACCAGAGCCTTGATCCATGGGTGTGGATCACTGTCGTGGCACCGCAGAACTGTCCATACCAGGGTTATATAATGTTCTTTGAAGTTGTAACCACATCTCCAAATGAATCGGAAAAGACGCCATGCGTGTTATTTAGTATAGGAGAAAGGATGAGAAAGGGTGGGGTATGATGTGTGAGATAACTTTTTGGTGCCGAGTTACATGTAACACAGTGGCGGCTGAGGTCCACGCTTCAGCAAGCCGGTTAGCTTGTCGGCTCAAACGTGGACCCAGCTGCGTGCCTGTCAAGCTGACGCGCCCGGGTTAGTTGTGACGCTGTGGAGGAAGTCAGCTGGTGTGTGTCCTGTTCTTTTGAACTTACTTGCAACCACACCTCCAAATAAAAAGAAAAAGATTCTGCGCATGCTTTTTCAAGAGGGAGGAAGGGCGGGGATGACGTGTGACATATTTATTTTCGCGTTACATTTCATGGTTTCCATTTTTATTTGCATTCACGCCACCGTAGCGTACACGTGTCAAAAGCCGCGAACTCAATTTAATCAGGCGGAAATAAGTCAGGGCCCATTCATTTGCTAATTGTTACATGCTGTTACATGTTTCTTGAACACTTTCAAGTTCTTAGGTGAGTCACTTGACTCAAGTTGCTCGGGCCCCCAAACGGCTTTGTGTGGTGGTTTGTCGCCCAGGCTTCAAAGAGTCTTGCGCAAAGGCTGCAAGAATCTGGAGGGTACTTCTTAAGACTTGTAGTTCGCCATCCGGCACTCGCTAGCTCAGTGCTCAAACGCTTTGGCATGCTGCTCTCATCTGAATCGTTCCTTGCTGACTTGTACCACCTGTGCAGAATAACCATTGAACCACACCTGTGTGCCAACTGGTGCTTGTGGTGTTTTGTTGGATCTTCGTGGGATGCCTTGGGAGTTGTCGTGAGAGGCTCTAATGCGGCGACTGCAGCGTTTCTCCAAGACTCGCACGCCAGACCAGCTAAAATTGGCGCTACAAGACCATCCTTGAGGCTTTGAGGAGTTTGAGGCATTTTTGTTTCTGGCTAGGACTCCTCAAACTGAATCAGCCAGGTCTCGACAACATCAACCGAGATGACTGTGTGACAGTAGCCATTAAAAGAGTGTTATACATTATACTTGAACTTAAATCATGGCATGTCGCCGTCCCTCTTTCTGCGGCAATAAACGCGCAGTATCAAGAACTCAGCTGTCGTTTGCCTAGGCAGTGGAATCTGATTCATGAGGAGGGATCCCAAAGAAGATAACCTTGCACCCTGCAGGAACAAATTAATTGGGGGCTAGGCGTAGAGGGGTTATGGGGGACCGCTTTGGGAGCTTGACAAGGTAATTTGGGTAAGGTTTCATAAAGGGTTTTCTTGGGTGCTGGGCGATTTCGGGGACCTGTTGCGAGACTAGGACTGCAGCCATGCAATTGACTGATACAGATTTCAGTCACAGGATCAAAAGGGTAGATAAGGTTATGAAGGACTGATGAGGCAGACATGAGTAAGACTGTCTCCTGGTCTTGTTGATTTGTTTGGGCGCACTCCGTTAGTAAGATATCATTTTCAGCGCTGAATGGGGGGACCTAAGCAACCCCAAGACGTTTGAGATGTTCCAGAGTGCAATGCGCGCGGGCTATGTGATCACCTGCATAGTGGGACCACCGTGTGAGTCGTGGTCTATAGCACGATACAATAATGATGGTGGCCCGGACTCGCTCTCCTCTTAGGAGTGACAATCCGACTTCTACGGATTTCAATCGTCTGTGGGGTGACAGCCATCGTATATAGAGCATCCTACAGACATCCCCAAAGATGCGGACATCCCTATAGTCTGGAGGTTGGAGATCCTTGTGTTTTCCCTCCGCTTTGTTTGCTGTGAGAGAGTGGATCTATTTTAAGGACACTATGGGGGCCTTACGCCCATGCCGAGGACGCTCTTCATTGCGCAGGGGGCAAAAAACAATGCTGGCGCGCGCCCAACCAAAAATCCCATGCTTAGTATTCGGTGGTCAGCAAGAACGATAGTACTGTACTCAAAGTGCGCTCCAGGCTTGAGCAGCAATGCTGTCGCCACCCATAGCTCAACTCCGTAGCATCCTCGGGAATCCGCACAGCTAGCAAATCTGATGTGCATCTCAGACATTGTGACTCCTTGTGTGCATCTCAGAGATTGTGACTCCTTTGGGTTCTGGTTTCTTGAACCCCTGGCACTGGACAATGAATGCCACAATAAGCTTCCATTCGCACCAGTCCTGCTATATTGTTGAATGCAGTGTTTGCCTGTTGTCATGGAGCAACGACAAAGCATTGTACGTAGCGAGCAAAGACTGTGCAATCTCTATGCTATCCAGCATGGGGATATTTTTGCAAGCACTGGAGGCGCTTCTTGATTCTTGTGGAGTTGCTCAAACGCGTGTCAAAGGGCATGAAAAATTGTACGAGTTGGACGATGACTCTTGTGCTAAGCAGGCATGGAGATTTCCAAGCAGCAACCCAGACAGAGGCAAACTTTGCTCTCTTTTGCAAACCAGCCTCATTTTGGACCATCTTTGGCTCTGCTGTTTGCCGGCCTTTGAACAAGGATTGACATATTGGAACCGCTCAAATAACACCGCCGGATTGTGACTACATTGCTGACAATCTGGTGGATTACAACCCACAAGATGATCTCGGCTCTACCACGCACTCCAAAGCAATCCATGAGCTTCGGCAAACAATGAGGCGCGCGCAGAATCCAACAAGGGAGTTTGCTCCTCAAGGTTTGGAACCCTGCCCGCCTTGTATCATTTTGTATCCAATCAAGCATTCTTTGCGTTGCTTCTGATTCACGAACACAAAAGCCCAACACTACCATCAAGGGAACAACCAGTACAAACAAGAACCTCATCTGTCTTTGCGGACTCCAAAGATCCGGTTCTTCCGGAAGGGCTTGGTCGATCTTGTTTCTAGATTCTATATCATTGCTTCATGTACTGTAGTTCGAAGAAACTGGCTAATATCCGTTTCGCCAGGGCCCACTTTGATCTCATGCCAGCTAGACAGCTCGGCCAGTAATGTCGTCCGTGGCCTCCGATATCAAGGGCGCTTGTTTGTTTGGCCTGGCTGGTGTCGACAAACAAGAGTCTGGTCCAGGTTGATTCTCGTACGATCAGTCGGCCCAAAGTCCGTAATGGTTCCAAACGATCGTTCTTTTTCGCATTGGTCAATCATAGTATGCCATCGTCTTCCGAGTGGAAGAAACTCGCTGGGTTTAGGAGGAGAATGGAGGAGGTAGGGATCGACGTGTTTTTACCTGCCATGTCTTCCAGCTCTGCGAAAACAGGGTCTGTACCGATATATATATATATATTCTGTTGCATGAAGAGCCGATGAGCGCTTTCAGTGTCACCCGCAAGCGTCCCACTTTGGGATTTGCTGGATGCACTGCACTTTCAACGTTGTACACCTCCATGATCAAGGCTGCGTGATTGCTGCATCGGATCCTGATGGGTGGCCTTGAAACATCCAATATATTGATTATTATTTGACTGGTTTACCCTTGTGCCGCGCCTGGCCTGACATATGTAATTCTCTTCCTGACAGGCTTGGTATCACCCAACTCGACATAAAGGGTCCCTTTCATCAATAACAGGTGGGAAACCCTGCGCCAAAACTCTCGAAGCTTGACGGTGCTCAGCTCTGTAGATTCAGATTGCTCCAGAGATCATTGTGCACTGTACCACGATACAGTAGTAGCATCATGTTCTCCTGCAAGTCTTCAATCTGGCACTGTGGAGCTCAACCTTGCTGTATTAGTCTGGCCGGAAATCTTCCCAGTGCCTTTCCAGCTATCTACTGAAGATGTTCCATGTTTGCCATGTCTCCATTGGTATTCGGACAGGCGTATTCAGCACATCTGCCGATGCACAAGTTTGGAAAGCCACTATCGGTCCTCAGAACTCCATCACCTAGGATCCCATTGGGCTAGAGAAGGCGGGGGACTCTGAACCTAAAGTATTCCAGTGCGAACGTATGACCTCAACATACCTCAACTATGACGGCTTCCCCAATTGGCCTAAAGTGCTGACCAAAGAAGAATAGGCGCGTCGCCATTCTCTATCGAAAAACTGGAGAGACATCGATGCAATTGGAACCTCCTGTGAATTCACCTAACTCGACCTAACACCGTTCCTTCGGTGTCGGTAAATTCTGCTCGCACCTCCTGTGGAAAGCTCTGTCCGTCCATCGGTCTCAACATCACTACATAGTCCATTAAAATCATCCACTCGCTGTCCATGCTCTTCGCAAGTTTATTTCAATCCAGTCCTGATTCGATCTGTTTGAGCCATGTGATTTCCTGAATATGGTTGGAGCCCTGGACCAACTACTCGGGTGCCCGTGTGGATCTAGAAATGCCAAATAGGATCAGCGATGTCCGTGCGAAAGAAGATGACGCAGACGAAACCAGCAACCTTCAGTGTCAAATTTCGCAGGTTTGGGGAGTTTGTCTACGATTGTTTTATTTTGTTTTGGCATCGGAATTTGTTCTTGTTCTTGTAATCTGGAATTTTTGGGAGCATGTTTTGAACTTTAATGTTTGTTTGCTTTATATTCGATGGCCTCCAGCCTAATAGCGACGGCCTCCAACCTTCAAGCGCCTCCAACCTAGAAGCGATGGCCTCCAACCTAATAGCGATGGCCTCCAACCTAGAAGCGCCTCCAACCTAGAAGCGATGGCCTCCAACCTAGAAGCGCCTCGTACCCTAGAAGCGAGGGCCTCCAACCCAATAGCGATGGCCTCCAACCTAGAAGCGATGGCCTCCAACCTAGAAGCAATGGCCTCCAACCTAATAGCGATGGCCTCCAAACTCTGGAACCAGTTTGGAACTAGAACTTACAAATTTTTCCCGAAAGCATTGCGAAGGGTTCTTCCGGAAAATCCCTTGAACACTGACACTTCGACACTTACGCTTACACACTGACACTTCCACCACATTCGCACTACATACACTGACACTTCGGCACTGACACTTACACATACACACGGACACTCGGCAAGCACGCAGTGTAAGTATGGGTACGCAAGCATGCAATGAGCGTGCAAGCACGCAATGAGTAGGCAAGTGTGAGTATTGGAAAACTAGCACGGGAGATGTCCTAACGAAAAAACATTTCCCCACTTTATAAATTCTCTTTGCAAGGCGGAGGGCGGGACGAACAGCGTCAACCGAAAGTGCAACCCTCTGCGGAGATCGTGCGTGTCGAGGAGCGAAATGCAGGCGAGAGTGCGACTTGCCGGCTGTGCGCGCAACCCTCTGCGGAGATCGTGCGTGTCGAGTGCGCGAAATGCAGGCGAGAGTGCGATTTGCCGGCTGTGCGCGCAACCCTCTGCGGAGATCGTGCGTGTCGAGTGCGCGAAATGCAGGCGAGAGCGCGATTTGCCGGGTGCCCGCGCAACCCTCTGCGGAGATCGCGCGTGTCGAGTGCGCGAAATGCAGGCGAGAGTGCGATTCGCCGGGTGCCCGCGCAACCCTCTGCGGAGATCGTGCGTGTCGAGTGCGCGAAATGCAGGCGAGAGTGCGATTCGCCGGCTGCCCGCGCAACCCTCTGCGGAGATCGTGCGTGTCGAGCGCGCGAAATGCAGGCGAGAGTGCGATTTGGCGGATGCCCGCGCAACCTTCTGCGGAGATTGTGCGTGTCGAGTGCGCGAAATGCAGGCGAGAGGCGTGGAGTATCTGGGGAGCTGGGAGATGAGCACTGGTGACTTTGTAGTACAACTGTAGTACGCGGAGTAGCTGGGGAGCTGGAAGCTCAGAACTGGTGACTTTGTAGTACAACTTTAGTACGCGGAGGAATCTGTGGAGCTGGAAGCTGAGAACTGGCGACTGCGTAGTACAACTTTA